GTGTGTATATGTCCATGAATGACTGAAAAATTGTGCTGAACACTGGAATTTGACACAACACTGTAAAATGATTATGAATCAATAAAAAATGTAAAAAAAACATTAATGAGTTTATGTGTTAAAGCTTACAATAGATATACAGATGCTTTAATACTAACCATAAGGTTTTGAAGCTCAAATATACCCCCAAAATGTAAATAATTACTATTAATAATGATGGAAAGTTATATTTACAGGAGGAGATTGCTATAGATTGAATATGTCTTCCCAAAATTCATATCTTGAAATCTAATCACAAATGGGATGTTATTTGAAAGTGGAGACTTAATGAGGTGATTAGGTCATAAGGTTGGAGCCTTAATGAATGGGAGTAATGTGCCTTAAAGAGAGGCTCCAGAGAGTCCCCTTTCCCCTTTTTCCATGTGAGGACACAGCAAAAAGACATTGCCTGTGAACCAAGAAACAGGCCATCACCCTATGCCAAATCTCAAGTGTCTTGTTCTTAGATTTCCCAGCTTCCAGAACTGTGAGAAATAAATTTCTGTTGTTTATAAGCCACCCAGTCTGTGATATTCTGTTACAGCAGTACAAACGGACTAAGACGTAAAAAGAGACCTCTAATCCAGAATTACTGATTCTTTTTTCAAGAAAATTAATAATCTCGAAATTACTGCTCAAAAAAATATCAAATGCTTTCAGATCCTACAGCAGAAAACAAAGTGCTAAATATCACCTCACTTAGTAATACTCTAAAGTTTTACTGGAACATCCTTGAAAATAAAGAGGCCTATAGAATTTCCAGATTCATGAAAAACAAGTTCCCTGAGCCGTAAGGAAAATTCCCCATTTCCAGGCAGAAACAAACGAATAAGCAAAGAAAAACATTAAGGAATAGTTTTTTGACATAAGAAAAATTATAAACATACTTTAAATCATTCACAAAATGTTGATTAACTACGCCTTTGTTTATCTGTGTGGCTTGCTTGTATTCTTCATGCATACCAGTATTTTGACATCCCAAACTAAAAAACACTTCCAGATTTGATCACTTTCGAATATTAAGAAAAAGATTTATCTTATTCTCCCAAACTGAACCAAAATTTCATCATTGAAATTAACCCAATTTGCTCTTAACTAGCCTTGATTATTCCAATATCTAGATAACAAATTATTAAGTTTATTTAATAATAAACTTGATTTTCCCTTATAAGAGAGATTGATAATATATAGACAATGTCGAGCTTTATTTCTTAAGAAATTTTAGGGAAATATGGAACAACAGATGAATCTACATCTTTCTAATGCAAGACTTGTTCTAAATAAAAACAGACTTAGGGGCACTGTCTGTTAAAAAATAGTTTTCAGTAACAGTTTAAAAAATTAGTACAACTGGAATATTCCAGCAATGTTTATTTTATTAGCCAACCTACCCTGTTTTACATTTTATTTTGTTCTAAACTTAATAAACATTTTGTGTAATTATGCAATTTCAAACATTCCTTTTAGCTAATATAGCATATGATCACTTAGATATAACCAAAGGCTTTATATCTTTCTGAACCATATTACTGAGTTAGTAGAAAATATTTTCTCATTTTTAATAAAGAATAAAATATAATTATATTGAAGCATATTCTCCTTAATTTATTCTCTCAAGGGGTAATATTACAAACTGGTTATAAACCTGTGGAGGACTCCTAGAGGCTGAATTAGTTACATAAAACAGGAGATAGAAAAAGCAACCCTACACTCCTGGGTAGTCTGTAATGGCACAGGACAAAAAATAAGATTGAAGGGTCTGATTTTTTTAGCCTCTGATTTGGAAACTCCAGGCTCCCCTATCTGATGTGATGGCCAGTGATGTCTGGGATCATGGCTGTTCTGTCAGTCTGATTCCCTCAGTGACAATCAAGGGTTGGGTTGTCAGATAAAAAAAAAAAATACATAACACCCAGTTAAATTAGATTTTCACATAGAAACAAACAAATGAGTGTAAGTATATTCCAAATATTGCATAAGGCATACTTGGACTAAAAGGGTATCTATTGTTTTTCTGAAATTTAAATTTAACCTAGTGCCTTTTTTTTTATGTGCTAAATTTGGCCATCTTAATCAAGGCTCTCTGACACACGTAACAAAGCATACAGCATGAGCAAGGGGGAAAAAAAGACTTATTTAAATCATAAAATCATGAGATTATTGCAGTAGAGCCTAGCTAATTTAGATTGAAGTATTTACCTAAAGTCAAACATTAGTTTGTGCCAGAAGGGAGTTAATTGTAATTAAACAGATTATACAGTATTTAGATATATAAATTATAGATTTTAGATATATAGACTAGAGGATATTTGAATTTATATCTTGACCCTTCCTCTAAGTTAAAAGGTCTAATATGCTTCACATTTAGTTAACAGAGTCATCCTATTTTATGTCTGTACAATATTCAGTTGCTTTAACAGAATAATAGACAATTAAGCATTATTGATTAAATATTTTACTATATGCAAATTTCAGTTTATCATGTGTTATGCAACACTGAAATTTATATTTCTAGTATTAACTATGCATTGACAAACATGTTTTTAAGTTAGTATTATACTAAGTCACCAACAAATGGCCATCCAGTAAAGAACTCTGCACTATAGCCAACTTTGAAGAAAACCTACCAAATGACAACACTGAAAAGCAATGCTGGAGATACCTACATGATTATTTTGAAAGCCTAGAAGGAGACAGATGTTGAATATACAGAATCACTTTTGCATCTTTCTGAATCTTACTGTGTTTGAATATTCACATTTTCTATAGAACCACAGGGAATCATTCCTTAAAAAGGTAAAAGAAGAATGAAGAAGCAGTTTAAGAGAACATTTTTGTGTACTCTGCATGCTTTTGCTATCTGTTTTCACATGTGGGTAATAAGTATGCATCTTTGAAATTGCAGCTAGGCAGGATATTTAAAATTAGTTCATTTTCAACTCAGAAAAATTCCATTTGAAAAAAAAAGGCTAATACAGTTTTTCATTTAGCATACACATAGGCTCTTGCATTGGCTTTGAAGTATATTTCATAGCAACTGGGACTGGCGCTGACTGATAAAATAGAAAATCTTACCACTAACTTGAGAAAGATACTTACTACTCCCCAGGTTTTCAGCATTGCTTTAAAAATTTTGTAATAGTTTATCAAAGAGGAAAAAAAGAAAGATACTTGAACACTATGAAATCTAAAAAAAAACTATATATATTATAAAGTCTTCAAAAAATAATTCTGTTGTCATTATAAATTGTTACTTTTTTTTAACAAGATATGGACTAAAATTTTATAATAGGGTGTTTTCAAACTTTCATCATATTGTTCAGAAAGCAAAGAGGATTTAAAATAAAATCAGCAACATTTCTACTCTTTTTTTAATTAAAAACTTTTAAGCTTTAATCATCTGTCCAACAAAAATGTTGTATACTCTTCAGGGCACAGTTCTAAGTGTGAGTTTTGAAACAGCTTAATAACAGAAATATAACACTTTATGTTGTTTTCATTCTAGTGGAAGAACATAGAAAATAAACAAGCTACAAATCTCCCTCGACTTCTGATGGGGTTGCATCCTTATTAACCCATCGTAAGTTAAAAATATTGTAAATCAAAAAGGCCTTTAATACACCTAACCTACCAAACATCATAGCTTATCCTAGCCTACCTTTAAGTGCTCGGAACACTCACATTAGTCTACAGTTGGGCAAAATCATCTAACGCAAAGCCTGCTCTGTAACTGAATATCTTCTGGAATTTATGGGATACCATACTGAAAGTGAAACACAGAATGGTCACTGGGTACAGAATGGTTCTAAGTATGTCAGTTGTTTACTCTCGTGTTTGTGTGATTGACTGGGAGCTGCAGTCCTCTGCCACTGCCCAGCATCGTGAGGAAGTACCATTCGTCCTCTTGCTAGCTCAGGAAAAGGTAAAAATTTAAATTCAAAGCAAGGATTCTACTGAATGCATATCACTTTCACACCATCATAAAGTCAGAATATCATAAGCTGAACCATCATAGTCTGGGACCATCTGTAAATAAATAAAACATATTGCATGACAGATGGTAATCATTGCTAAGGGAAGAGAGTAGAGTAGGAAGACATGCAATATTGGAAGGCGAGTGACAGTAGGGCAGCCACACAGAGAGGGTGATATGTTCCCAGAGTACTGAAGAATGCGAGCAAGTGAGTCATGTTGAGGAGCCAGACAGTACATAAGCCCCAGAGGGGAAGTCAGCTGCCATGTTTAATGGACTCACAATGTGGCTGACACTGTGAGTGCTGGTGAAGAGAGTGAAAAAGGAATCAGAAAGGAAGTGGCAATTTGGATCATGCAGAATCTTGTATGCTCTCCTATAAGATTTGGCATTTACTCTTAAAGAAATGGAAAACTGTAGTAAGGTGATGAGATATAAGATCTGTTTGATACTTTTAGAAGATGATTTTCACTTCTGTGTTGAGAACAGACTTGGGGGCTGGGGAGGAGGTAATAAAGATCAGAAACAGTGAAACCAGTTAGGAATCTCTGAAAATCTGGATGAAAGGTAATAATGATGTGGATCAGGGTAATAGCAGTGGAGTGGAGAGAGATAATTGGATTCTGGAAATACTTTAGTATATCTCAGTAAAGCCAACCACATTTACTAACACTTTAGATGTAGTATGTGAGAGGGAAAATCAGGTCAAAACTTACTCCAAGGTGATTTGTGTGAGCAAAATGGTAAAGGGAAGGATGAAGTTACGATGCTTAATTAAAAAGAAAACCAAACAAGAGAAGGTTTGGAGTGGTGATAATAAAAATCAGGAGTTCACTTTTGGACCTGAGAGGTTTGAGTTGCAAATTAAACATCTAAGTCAAGATGTGTGGCAGGAATTTGAATACACACATTTGGAATTTAGAGGAGGGGAGTGGCCTGAAGTTATGAATTTGGGAATCATTAACATAGAGATGGTAACTAAAGCCATGAAGCTTGATGAAACACTGGAAGACAGAGTTTTGATGGAGGAAGAAGGAAGTAGAAGTACAAAGTCTGGACAAAGAGGGGAGGACTGGAAAATGGTGAGGAAACAGAGAAAGCTGAGAAGGAGCAATAGAAGAAGTAGGAGGAAAATCAAGGGAGTGCAGGGTTCAGGAAGACACCCAAAGAAGGACTTTTAGGGATGAGAGAAGGCTAACCTTGACAGAAACTGCTAAAAGGTATAGCAAAGTATGAAGGTATGGACTAGAATTGGCCATTGTGACCAGTCCAACGAAAAAAGAGGAAATAGAAAACAATGCCAGTGCATCTTTCAAGAGTTTGATTGAATTGCTGGTCTCTGTAATCCCCCAAGTAGAAGGCAGTTGTTTTGATTGACTATATTTTAGGAGAAGGGAATTTAATGGGCTTTGTTTTGGTCTTTTCATCATAAAATCCATGCTCCAAAAATCAGGGAACCACAGTGGGAAGTTTTCCTATTGCAGAATTATCTATTCTAAACATTCTCTAGACTAGAGAAAATAATCATGGTGTTAGTTTGGTATTTGGTTCCCACTGAGCCTACTGTGAAGCAGATACGGCTAGCATGCCACTTAGCGTTTGCATTCTCTCTAGCAGGTTGGGACCCCTAGCACCCATCATTAGAAAAGAATCACCATTCTGAAGATTACTACATGCCTGAGTATTTTCCTCTACCCGGGACACACACAGAACATTGTTTTAAATTGTTGTAGGAAGGCTAGAGAAACATTTTGAGTATTTACCTTGAAAAGCCTATCCTCTGTGATAGGCCGTTGGCCTATAAACAGACTTATGTCTGAGAGTTATTGACAAGCTAGGAGTGTATTTCATAGTGGAACAGGTAAGCATCCACTTGACATTCATGTTATTTTTCAGTCATTAAATTTGGTATAACCATAACTTAATAAAAGCCGGCACAGAATGTTCAGAGGAGTGGCCCTACAAGGATCTTTGACCATACATTCCTGGAATCAAATTCTATACTCTACAACAGAAATTCAGTCTTTTGTAATTTAATTATAGATGTGGTAACCTTTCACCTCTGCTGTGATATATTAACTGTTGGGTTCAGCCCACATTCAAGGGAAAGGGATTCCAAAAGGCAGGAATACTAGTAGGTAGGGATTGATGGTCGACATGTGTTTTTACTTAGTACACAAATTTTTTGAAGAGGGAATTATAAGTACAACAGATTAGTGTCATTTAAAATCATATCTATTAGAAGATACATTTATCTTAGGACTAATTTTATTAAGAGAGATTATAATTTACTGCTGTTTACATGACTTAAGAAACATAATTATATTTTTTAATTAGAATACTTTTTTTTATTGAAGTATAGTTGATTTACAATGTTGTTAAGTTTCAAGTGTACAGCAAAGTGGTTCAGTTATACATATATATATATTCTTTTTCAGATTCTTTTCCATTATAGGTTATTACAAGATATTGAATATAGTTCCTTGTGCTATACAGTAGGTCCTTGTTGTTTTTCTGTTTTATATATATAGTGTTTTATATATATACTGTTTTATATATAGTAGTGTGTATCTGTTCATCTCAAGTTCCAAATTTATCCTTCCCCAAACCCATTTCCCCTTTGGTAACCATAAGTTTTCTTTTCTATGTTTGAATCTGTTTCTCTTTTGAAAATATATTCATTTGTATCATTTTTTTTAGATTCCACATATAAGTGATATCATGTGATATTTGTCTTTACCTGACTTTCTTCACTTAGTGTGATAATCTTTAGGTACATCCGTGTTGCTGCAAGCAGCATTATTTCATTCTTTTTTATGCCCAAGTAATATTCCATTGTATATGTGTACTACCATACTATTTTCCATAGTGGCCTCACCAATTTACATAAATGCCTTTCCTGTATGTAACAGTAGCTCATTCATTCCCCTGTCCCTGGCCCCTGTTATATCCACTGTTGGAATGTACCATAGTTTTTCATCCATTTATTTATGTTGTTTCCAGTTTTTGAAGATTATAAATAGAGTTCCTGTAAACATCACTGAACATGTTTTTGTATGAACATAAGTTTTCTTTCCTCTAGGGTAAACATGTAGAAGTAAGACTGCTGATATTTTTTAAAGAGGTGAATAATTGAAATTTTGGAAATGGATAGCTTAATGACTTTCTATGTCACCTTTAGATTAAAAATATCTATTCTCCCTATTCTTCATGTCTTTACAATATTATCAATGCTGATTGTACTACTAATGCAGATTAAAAATATTTGTCAGTAAAGTTGAGATTTAGATTATGCATAATAGTATTTTGATAAGAGCTGTGAATACCTGATAACTGCTTTGCTAATCAACACTTCTCACAATAGGTATATGATTAAAAATAAGTAAATAAAAGAAAATTGAACCCAAGAATCCCATTATATAAAGCCCATGTTAAATGACCCTCAATGCAGACCCCTGATAAATTTGATAAAGGGAGAGGGAAGGAAAAGGTAAATAAGGAAGGAGATAGGAAGAAAATAGGAGAGTGACTGAATAATTTATTGGTGATTGATTCAGAGACCACCTAAGAAAAGATTTACCTGACTTTGCTTACCACTGTGAGGCAGTAAACAGAGGAGTAGAAAGAATAATGAGGTAATTTCACAAGATTTTATTTCTTGCCACCCTTTCTTTTTTCCAATAGTAACATCGATAGGAACTTTTCATATAAAAGATACAACGAAAGGTATCTTTGGGGAAAACATTTAGTTGTTTGAAGCAAAATTATTAATGTAAATGAGGATTTCAGCTGACGAAAAGCCTCAGGAACTATTCGTATAGACTTGGATAATTGTTTTGATTCCTTTAAAGAAATTTTGCAAAGCACTGTCTAAAAGACATTAAATTAAGCAGAAGATGACACTTGACATTCAGAATAAATGGGACAGGAATTGGAAATATTTATATTCTCTCCTTAATTAGAGAGTAAAAGTACATCTTGGCAATGAATATTTCAGTTGAAATAAAACATTTTAGAACTTCCATTTAAATATGACATAGCTAAATAACCAATTCAACTGGAGTAAAAGTGTCAGTAACCTTATTTGGTTCCTTTGACAATAAAATCTTAAATTTTTTTTTCAAACTCAGGAATGGACAAAAAGATGTAACAGAAATGTCTTGTCTGGCCTACTTTTCTGTGATCAAGTATTTGGAATATTAGGTAATTATAATAGGGAACATTCAAAAGCCAAAAGATGTTAGATTGAATCATTTTTAGAGTGTGATATATATTTCTTAATAAGAGATTGAGAGGAATTAATTTTCTTGATGGTTGTCTGCCTTTTCTCTCCACACTGTCAATAACCTGAATCCTCGGAAAAAGGATAAAGTATTTGAGACTGCCTTCCCCAATCCTTCTAGAAGCAGAGGTGGTAAAGAACTGCAGAGTTAGGAAAGAGAGGAGCTTTATTTTATACTAGAACATCCCTAATGAGATTAAGGCAAAACAGAGAGATGAAATTGTAGCTGGGAGGAAAGCCAAGGTTATAAATCTGAAAAGACAAGATTGTGGAATGGGTAATGATTTAGCAATATAATCTATGAGAGAGTAAGTTATCAGAAGAGTTACAATTTTGAGTAAAGAGCAAGGTTGCAAAGAGAAGCAGTAGAACAGTTGAGCAAACTAAATCTCAACTATTACGTTTACGGTCATAAATATCATTTAACAGAGCACAACCTGGAAGTTCATAGCACGGTCATGGTGGGAGTTTTTGGACACATGCTATTAGAATTTGATGTGAAAAGATATAGAAGATTTGACAATGGAATTAACAAGTTGCTCACACGTATGTGTTTGTATTTGTGTTTGCGTGTGTGCAAAATCCTGTTTTTCAAAATTAGACAATTCCCATATTCTCAACTACACATTAAACAAAGTATAAAAAACTGACTATATATCAGAGCAATAAAGGAGTTTGTAAATACCAGTAAGTTGATATAATACACACCACATCTTTTACTACAAAGCAATAAAATGATAAATTAGAACACAATTATAAATCAAAATCTTCACTTTGATTGAAAATTAAAATTGAAAAAAACACTTTTTGAAGATATTCATGAACCAAGGAAAAGATATTTATTGAAAATATGAAATACTTAAAATTGAAAATACAAAAATAAAACATCTCAACACGTATAGGTTCAACAATGGTAGTAGCATAAGAAAGAATTACAATTTTTAATGCATATGTTAAAAATGAAAATATTTGGAAATTAATGTGCAAATTTAGAAAAAAATGATAGGGAAAAAATGAAGAAGGAAGAAGAAGTAATACAAGTAAGAGTAGAATTTAATGAAAAAGAAAGAAAAAAATAAGTTCTTTAAAGAAATTAAGATCTATGTATAAATATAAATAAAGGAGAAAACAAAATGGTTGATTTTTCAGAAGTGTCTTATATGATAGTATAATTTTGTAATCACACCAAATGCCTAGGAAGGAGCCCTGAGGACCAAGTTTTAAAATCATTAGCAGTTGTTGCAAGCACTGTGCCTCTCCTTTCATTCATCACAATTATGAGAGCAGGGATGTTTGTTTTCCTCATGACTCTGTATTCAAAACCAAGCACAGTTCCTGACATATAGTAAGCTCTTGATACAGTTACCTGCTGAATTAGTAAGTTATGTAGGAGCTCGCAGAACATTTAAGGAAAGAGAACTGAGATATCATTAGTAGCTGTGTTGAAGTTTGTTTTCCACAGAGAGGATAAATATTGTTTTTAATTTTGTCTTCAAAGAAAATAAGGCTATGTTTTTTTTGTTTTTTGATTTTTAAGGGCACTTTTCAAAAGATACCTTTATTAGAAATAAAATGTGTTTTTAATTTTGGCATGAGGCCAAATTTTTGAGGAATTCTTGGCCTCAATTATAATATTTTACTATAAGGAAGAATCTATAACACTATATTATTACATATTATATTATTACATAATATTTTATATTGCATATTTAATTCATAATTATGAGTAAAAATATAGTGTTGTTTTGAATAAATCAAGAATTTGCTTATTGCTGTAATATCATACTTATATCTTTGCATTTTCTTATTCTTCCCATTCTTTGTACCATGCTTCTTGTATGTCTGCCCACTTATGCTCATATGCATATTATCTGGTTTCAGCAAAAATCAAGAAAGCTATTGAACTAACTAATGCAAAGCCATGTATATATAAACATTAACTTAAAAATTAGGTGATAAGGATAAAGGTGATATAATGTAATTACATGTAAACCTACAAAGATGTAATTAAAAGTATATTTATACAATGGAATATTACTCAGCCATAAAAAAGAATAAAATAATGCAATTTGCAGAAACATGGATGGACCTGGAGATTGTCATTCTAAATGAAGTAAGCCAGAAAGAGAAAGAAAAATACCATATGATATCACTTATATGTGGAATCTTAAAAAAGCAAACAAACAAACAAACTTATTTATAAAACAGAAACAGACTCACAGACACAGAAAATAAACTTATGGTTAACAGTGGGGGAAAGGGGTGGGAAGGAATAAATTGGGAGTTCAAGATTTGCAGATAGTAACTTCTATATATAAAATAGATAAACAACAAGTTTATACTGTATAGCACAGGGAACTATATTCAATATCTTACAGTAACTTGTGATTAAAAAGAATATGAAAACGAATATATGTACGGTCCTATATGACTGAAGTATTGTGCTATACACCAGAAATTGACACAACATTATAAGCTGACTATACTCCAATAAAAATATATAAAGAAAATAAAAATATTTTTAAAAATATTAATGAGACTCCCATCCATCACAAGAAAGTTCATAGGTCATGAGCTGACAGTAAATTTTCATGTAGCTGTTCTAGTATAAACCTAGCCATCATTTAAGTCTAGATTTACATAAAAGCAATCATGGAACATATGGAATAGTGAAACAAAGCCGCAAGGCTGAATATATAGACAGCCTTCCAATTGTCAAATAGGGTGACTAACTCAAACATCGATTGATATAAGTAGTTAATTTTATTGATTACCTGCTATTTATAAGCTTTTCCTGGTCTATTTTACTTTTGTCTTACAAGTCAGAGACCATTTTTTTCACCCACTAAGTAATGTATTAGATTTTTTGGCAAGTTGCTCAGCAAAGGACCATGAACTATCTAAGAACAAGCTTTCTGTCCTGGAGTAGAAAACTGTAACGAAAGACTCATCAAAAGACAGAGACTTTAGGTACGCATTTGCTCTGGTCTGAATGTTGTTTCCCTAAAATTTGTATGTTGAAATCCTAATACCAATGTTATAGTAAATAGGAGGTAGGGCCTTTGAGAGGCACTTAGGTCACGAGAGTGGAGCCCTTATGAATGAGGTCAGTGCTCTTGTAAAAGAGACCCCTCAGGTCCCCAAGTACCGTTCTGCCCTTCTGTTGTACCTGTGCTGATACAACTGAGAACTCAGAGATCTGCAAGAGGGTCCCAGCCAACCATGCTGGCACCTGATCTTGGACTTCCAACCTCCAGAGCTGTGAGAAATAAATATCTGTTGTTTATAGCCTCTCAGTCTGTGGAATTTTGTTATAACAGCCAGAATGGACTAAGATGTCATTTAAGTAAATATTTGTCTTCATGTTAATGTTTTCATTTCCAGACGTATCGCAGAGGGCTGCACATGATTTTTCAGTAAAAAGAAGTCTGTAACTTGAATAACAAATACATTGAAGAAGTAAGGGGAGGGGAAATTTTTATGAACATTAGTAGAAATTAGTGAAGAGAACAGTGAAATATTTGATCATAAAATATAATGTCCACTTTATTTAAAAAGAAAAAAGGAGTAATCACACACACACACACACACACACACACACACTTTCAGTGTACAGAAATTCCCATCTAGATAAGTTTTCATTTGTCTCCAAAACTTTTCATTCTATAATATAGACTACTGTTGTAAAAATGTGAGCTGTTAACAACATGTAGAAATAAATTTCTAGTCATATCAAGTAGTTATTAAT